TGCCCCGGCCCGGGTGGGGGGCGAGAGGCGGGGGGCGGCAGGCAACAGCCCCAGGGGTCGCGCTGCTCCTTTATTGGGGTACAAAACAAAGGCAGCTGGGGCAGCGGGGAGGGGGCAGCGCCCCGGGGCTGGGGGTGCAGCGGAGCCTCTTCAGCCAGCAAAGGGGGGGTACAGGCCAGGCCCTGGACCCCAAGGCAGACAGACCCTGCTCCGGAGGCGTTCCCGCTGCCTCCGAGGGGGACATGAGGCCACTGCTGCCCTTTCAAAGAACCTGAGCAACAAGGGCGGCGGCGGCTGGGCAGACCACGGCCCCACAGCCGAGCCAGCCTCCCTCGCCACCCCTGGGATGCTGGGCACCAAGGAGCCCGCGGGGCCCACCCCTGCGGAGTTGGACAGCCCCGGCTGTCCAGGGGCTGGGATGACAGTGGGAGAGTGTTTGAATATCAAACCCTCCCGCTGGCACGGGGGCCGAAGGCAGCCCCTGCCCTCCCAGCGCTGCCAGCCAGCCCAGAGCCCACGTGGGGCCTGGCCGGGGCAGGGAGGGGATGGAGTGTCAGATAGGTGGGGACAAGGTGGTTCCTTGAGGAGATCCCCAATCCCTGATGTTTTTCAAGTAGCTAGCCTGCCCTGCTGGACAGCCAGGTGGGCAGCTGCTCAAAATAAATACAAATAAATACAGACTCCAGCAAGAGAGCCTGGCCAGTGCCCAGCTAGGGCCTGGAGGAAGCCTTGAAGGGACCGGACCCCGTCCCCCTCCTCCCCAGGGAAGAGGGTGACCGGCCCCTCAGGCACAGGCCCCGGGGAGACCACCTCTCCCTCCCACAGGCACAGCCGCCCTGGGACACAGAGGCAGGTTGTGGAGGGGGAGGAACACCCCCCACCCCCCCCTCCCCCCCTCCCTCCATCCCTCCTCGGAGGGGAGGATCGACCCCGCAAGGGGCCGCTCCTGCAGGGTGGAGGGAGAGGCTGGCAGCAAAGGGCTCATCCTGCGGGGCAGGAGAGCCGGGGGCTGGCAGGACTGTGCTGCGGGTGGGTGGGCACAGGCTGGCAGCTCGGAGCCCCTCCTCAGGGCGGAGGCGGGGGGCCGGCCCCATGGCCAGCCCTGCTGGTGGCCCAGGGGCCAGCCAGCTCAGCAGTCCATGCCATCGCTCTCACACCAGGCAGAGGGGCCGTCAGTGCCGAAGTATCTGTCCCCAAAGTTACCTGAAGGACGAGGGGACAAAGTGAGGCAATGGCAGCACTGGCCCCGTCACAATTCCACCCCCCCAGGGCTCCCACAGTGTGCCCAGAGGGCACCCCACCAGACTGCCAGGGCGATAAACACACCCTTCTCCGCCCTCACCAATGCCTGGGATGATGTGGAATTCCTCGTTGATCCTCTTGTCTACGGCAGTGGTGATGATGTGGACACGGGGAAAGGCGTAGGCCACGGAGTGCACCCCCATCTCTGCCATCAGCAGCGACAGCAGGAAGATCCTGTCCTCCTGCACGTCATGATCCTGCAGCACGCAGAGCTGTGAGAGCCTGGCCAGTGCCAGGAGGGCCACACGCCCCCACCCCACACCTCACTGCCCCCGGCCCCTCACCAGCAGGACGCGCACTGCCATCATGGCCGCGGCTCCCGTGGAGACGGTGCTGTCCATGAGGATGACGTAGTCCTCGCTGATCTCCTTGGGAAGGCGCAGGTAGTGGAGCTAAGGAGGGAAGGAGAGGTGGTCACCCATCCCGCGGTGCTGGGGGGCTCTGGGCCAGGGCAGTGGGCGCCGCTCACCTCAGGCTCCCCCGTGTCGTGGTTGGTCTGGATCAGGATCTTGCCCAGGCGGATGTCCTTGCACACAGCAGTGAGGGCCTGCTCCATGGTCTCCCCTGCTCGCAGGATGGACACGCCTGTGATCTGGGGAAGGGACAAGAACACGTCTGCCTGGTGCTGCGCAAGGGAAGCAGCCGCTCCAGTGAGCTCCTGAGGCTCCAGCACCATGGGAGGGGGGGAACAAGCCCTGCCGAGCAGCTCATCTGCACAGGGACGGATCCCAGGAGCCACCAGTTTTTCCTAGTCAGTGCCAACCCGAGATGGGTCAGCCACGTGCTTGTGGGGAGAAAGGGGCCAGGACAATGTCTCACCCTCTGCCTGTGGAACCGCTTTCCTTCGTACATTGTCCCCTGGGGCGTCTCCACAGTGACCGACTGCAGAAAGGGGAGGAGAAGGGAGTGTGGATGAAGCTGGGCCCCCGCATGGCCCGGGGGCTCAGGAGGGAAGAGACATGGCCCTGAGGGGTGGTTGCTCACCTTCAGTGGCAGAAAGGAAAGGGCATGTTCAATCAACAGCCTCATCAGGCGCTTGGAGTAGAAGATGAATTCGTCCCTTGTCGTGTCCTTGTTCCTGTTGAGGGAGGACACCCACGTGAGACGAGCAGAGTCCCTGCTCCACCCCGCAGACGGCAAACGGGGCTCTAGAGAAAGGCTGGCATGAACAGAGCGCAGTCTGTGGGAACCTGGAAGCTCTTGGGGAGGAGACACAGTCAGTAATCATTGATGTTTCAGGGCTTGCTGAAGACCTAAGGTGCTGTCTAGAAAGGATCACATGGTCAAGAAATGTGTTCAGTTCCCCTGGAAGGGGGACACAAAGCCTGCAGCAGATGACACAGATCAGATAAAGTGAAAGGATGCCACGCGATGCTGCTCAGTCCTCTTCGGGACACGGGACAGTTCAGAGCTGACTCTGCATGGTGGGCTAGCTAGACTAGCAAAGTGAATAAAGCCAACAGCAAAAAGGAGGGATAAGTGAGCATAACATGAGTAGCCTGGTGTAGATGTACATCCTGACCCTGAACAGAGATGAGGCAGGTGCCTGAGAAGCAAGCGTAGAGTTGCAGCATTACTCGCTCCGAGCATGACCTCTAATCGCTGCTGAATCTCTGCTGAGGATTTGCAGGGCTGGAGATTTAGGACATAACTGCTGACTACGTGGAAAGAGCCAGGAGAAAAACAGGGGGGGTGGGAGCCGCAGAACGTCAGGCAGCACCATCAGTTCTTGGCAACAGAAACTCAGGAGCAAGCGGCAAGTGTTTTGCACGGGCCCTGTCAGGGGAACACAAGGTGGAACAGGAGCACACCCAGGACGGTCCACAGCACAGCAGGACAGCTGGCTCCAGGAGCACCTCAACGTGGAAAAGACCAGACTGCACCACGGCCAAGAGTAGCTGGGTTACCTGACATCGGTAATGGGAAAACATCTGACGCGTTCTCAACTCCTCTCCGTTTACGTACCAAGTCAGAGATAAACTACTGCCAGGAACCAGACAGATTTGGAAATACCTGGCATTAGCTCATCACAACACTGAAGTGCTGAGGGCAGCAAGAAACAAAATAAATAAAATAAATAGAAAACAGAATAAAACCACAATGAGATTGTAATTCACAGGAAACCTCCCCTTCTCCCTCAGGAGGAGTAAAGCCAACTGTATGCGCCTGCGTGCTAATCCCAGTGCCAGGGGCAGAGGGGGAAAGAGGTTGGCTTTTCTTATTGGGAGCGTTTTGACCATCAGCACACATCTGTGTTGTAGTCTAACTCGTTCATCATGCACAAAACCTTGCATTTCCTGCAACACACGGTTCTCAAAGCACAGTAACATGAGCGTGTACAGCGCTTCACTTAAGGACAGGCAGAACCGTCCCAGTCCCATGTTACTCAGAGGATATTTTCAGCTGAGCAGAACAGGTCCTCCACCAGCACTGTCAGTGTCAAGTGCCTGAAGGCAAAGTACCTACAGCAAGAGGTTGCTCAGCAGGAAAAGGAGGAGAATCTGCAATTTGTTTGTCATTTAAAACGTGACCATAAAGATCCACCAGTGTCCATCTATACCTCTCTCAGTCTGTGGCTGCTTTGGCAAAAGAGTAAGTAGCAGGTTGTAACGTAAGTGTCATTTTACTGGAGAACCGTCAAGAACAAGCTTCTGGCTCCCTGGCTGAACAATAACCAAGAGGCAGACTGACACCGAAGGACTGTGGTTAACAAGATGCAGCTGAAACCTCTTTTCTCTTCTGTGACCTGTGTTTAAAGCAGTGCAGCCTGTGTACACCCCTGGTATTTTCTGGAGAACGTAAGAAACAAAGGAACCCTACAGACATTTGCCAGTTTCCAGATGGAAGAGGTGGAACTGGCAACAGTCCAGAAGAGGCAGAAGGATATTGAATATTTTTACTCTGTATTTTAAGACATCATCTGCCACTTCTCACACCTCACATCTCACCACGATGACAGACAGCCCAGCCAACAGTGCTCAGGAGAAGGATAAACAGTCACTACCATCCCGAGATATTTTTGCAGACAGACCTGGGTAGCTCGCACCCAAGAGCTCTGCAATTACCAGAAAACCTGACTAACGTGGACAATTCCAACAAGCCAGGGGACAGTGCGGCCCTCCCAGGGACGTCGGAAAATCAGTTCTGGTCTGGGAGAAACAGGCGCCCTTGCCTACAGCTCTTCAGCGTGGGCTGTCAGCACACGTGCTCCCCCACGGGTGGGCTTCACCCACATGCTCACCCACGGTAGCTTCTGAAGCACCGCCCGAGCTCCAGGTGCGCAAGCCCGGCAGCAGCCCTGCCTCCACGGGCAGTCTCTCCCAGCCAGCTGTCCCTGACAAGTCCCACACTGGCCCTGTTGGCCCCGGGGCCACTCTGCCATGGACGGGCACAGTTGGCCATCCCGGCCAGCCTCCGACCTGGGTGGGACAGGCCCGTCGGTGCTCCCGCAGAGGCAAGTTCCTCCGCAGCCTCCGAAAGGCGTCCCGGGGATGGAGGAGTATCCTCGGTCCCTGCACCGTGAAAGCCCCAGCATGCCTCCCTTTTTGGGCAGACACGAAGACAACCAAGAAACTTCTCCTCACCCAGGGGACAAGCAACCGTCGATGATGCAAGGGGGAAGGGGTGCTGCAAGGGAGGGCAGCCCTGACATCCCCCAACAGCAGCGGAGGACCCTCCCCACGGCATGGAGGCACGGCTGGAGCGATCCCGCTCTCTGACTGCTAAGAGCGCTCCCAAAGGGGACACCGCTGTCTGCACACCAGGCCCACTCACCCCTCCATGTAACAGCACGGGCTCGGACCCTCCTGCCATTGCCCAGGCGAAGCCTGAGGGCACGCACTGCTCCAGGCTCTGCCCACCCTCTCAGTGGAGGGGGCAGCCGAACCACGGGCAGCGCGCACACTCCCACAAGCCGGGAGCCCACAGCTGGGCACAGCAGCACTGCAGCCAGCAGCTCCTGAGAACCTCGATCTTCCCTGGCACTCTCAGCAGATGGCAGGAAAGCACCGGCTGGCCTGACAGGGACCAGCAAGCACCTGGCTGGGAGCCTGAACATGGTGTCAGCTTAGCTCACGAACAGGACTGTCTGTAGCTGAAAGCCAGCCATCGCATTCAGGCCCCTGGGAAACTTGAGCATGGACAGGTTTCATGTCTGAACCACCTTCTCTGGCATTGGTAACTGCCCAGCATGCAGGGAGCACCTCACTCTGCCCCTCACTGAAGCACCAACAGCCACAGGCTTCTCAAGGGCAGCTCCAGCGCAGGACAACATGTCCTGCCAGAGCACAAAGTCCAAAGGCTCAGGCCAGAGCAAACTTGCTAAGAGAGGCAGGTGACCCACACCACCCACAGGCTGTGCCGCAGGGGATGTCCCGGAGCCTTTCCACGAGTGTGTGGGTACCAAGATGCAAGCAGTGGAAAGGAACTGCCATTCTCCTGTGGCAGAGAGAGACAGAGATGCTTCAGCGCTGTTGGGGGGCAGAAAGGACTGTTCAGGCCCTGCAGAGTCCTGATGGGTGGCACAAAATGCTCCTATTGACTCTGGCGATCTGGAGCCGATACCGAAGCGTCTTGTAAGTTGGAAGATATGACCCATACCCTTATTACACTGTCCATCTTCAGCCTGATCATGAATAAAATCATTCAGCTACTCTAGTGCAGTACTATTTTTCAGTTTCCGCCTCTCCACAATAACAGAAAATCACTCTGGAAACCACTTCTCCCCGAGATGCCAAGTCTGAATTTGCCATGACTATACTCAGTGAGATGCTCATCTGCTGCCACAACATAATCTTCCAGGAGGGCCCTCAGAGACAGAAGGCTGAAGCACAGAAGAGCCTCCAGTGTTGAACAACAGGGAAACAACGTTGGCCAGCAGCAGCCTGGCAAGCCGAGATCAACAGGCTGTCTCCAAGGGAGCCGCACTGGGAAAGGCAGGATGGAAAAAGGGAGGCTGGAGGGAAATCCTGGTTCACAGCTCTCATACAACCACAGATGCCTGGTTTGGTGTGCCAAGGCACTCCAAAAGGCAGTACTGGTAGGAGCACCAGCACTCCACAAGAGCCGCCACTGCGGAAAGGGGCTGACAGCACCGTGGCAGCCAGAATGAAGACGAGAGATCAGATTTGCCAAGACACAGTAACTTCACACACCGAGGTGCAGGAAGCTTGGCAAAAGGCATGCATTTGATCCCCTGCCAGTCTGGACCTCTCCAGGGAGCCCAGGAGAATGTCAGCAGGCATGCAGCAGCGCCTCTGGAGCAGAGGGAAGCCCAGAGAGTCACGCATGAGGACCATTAACAGTTCCACACCATGCTGAAGTCACGCAGAAGCAAATGAGCACTGCCAAGTATCACCTACAAGCACCAGAAATACAAGCTGCCTTGCTGTTGCTGAATACAGGAACTTTTTACCAGAAGAGTTCCTCAGCTTAGAGATCTTAGTAACAGCACTGCTTGAGCTTTCCTTGCTTTCTTGGGCTGCAGCAGGATTTGAGGGGGTGGCTGACAGGCCAAGTCAACGCCCCTCATAAATGTGGTATTTTTCATTTACCATCTGGAAGAGGCAAAGTCCGCCTTCCCACAGCCCTGCCGCTCACACCAGCCAGCTCCAGAAGCACAGTGCTGCTACAGTAACTCGAGATCAGCGGCGCTGCTGGACTCCAACCACAGCCTGCATGGGTTTGACCCCCTCCCTCCCCGGGGCAGCTGAACAAACTCCTAAGCCTAAGCAGATTAAGGTTATTAGACGCTTGTGGCATAAAGGCGGAGACACAACAGGCCATTCCCAGCAAGGCAAAAGGATGCAGACTTCATGGAGGAAGATGGGAACAGCAGCTACAGATGAGAGAGGATTCAGTGCCCGCCCACAGTGCTGTCCCTTCGGGGCAAGGGCTGGTCAAACCTGGCCCTTGGCACTGCTAACAGATCAGCCAAGGCTCATGTTCGTCTGAGAGCAGCACATACCAGCATCAAGCTGTTGGCTTTCCCGAGGGAACAGGAGGAGCCCTAGGTAAAAAGTCCGTGCCAGAGCCTGTGAACAGGAAGGCTAGAGGCGGGGCAGGCTGCCACACAAAGACTTGCATTCTTCTCTCCCTGCATAACCCAGGGTAAGGGAAAACTGCTCCTTTGCAAGCAAACAACATTCAGCCTCTGGAGGTGCTGTTCCCCCAGGATCTCCCTTCGACCTTCATCTACCACTGAGCGCACAGACAGCAGATGAGCTAGAAAAATCGTCTCAGGCCATGAAGAAGCCACTGCCAGAGCACTGCAGCAAGACGACGCTGGAGGGACATGGTCCTATCTGCTCCAAAGTTCCCTTAGCTGGACCTGAACACAGAGCTACTAGAAGTCCACAGCCTAGGCATGAGGTACGTGGGCTTCAAACACTGGCACAGGTCCCTGCCCAGTGCACGTAAGGTGCCACATCACCTGGCGAGGCACATCACCTGGCTTTTACTGTTGTGATCCACCTTTGGAGCCTGCGCTTCAACAGGGAGGAGTCACAGGAGGAGCCTGGAAAAGGAACACCTTGCTTCCTACAAGGAGGTGCACAGCCTGCATGCGGTCATGAGGTTACATTCTCCAAACCAACACATGGGCGCCGGTAGCCAGCCATAGTGTGAGCAGGCGCAGGAGAAGAGTCCTGCTGAGCTCAGCATCCCCTTTCTGTTTTATAACCCAGTGACAGAAATGCAGACAGAGGCTGCAAGCTTCTGCAACCGCAGTAACAAGGAACGTCTTAGTAGTCTCACAGGATTCGGCTCTTGACCCTACACTAATGCTACTGTCACCTGGAAAAAAGGAGCATCGGTGGGGAATGAAAAGATCAAGTGAGCGGCAAAGTCATGGAAGCAGCAGCCTGGGTCCCTTCTGTAAGCTGGCTCTAAAACCAAGTGCCTCAGGAGAAGGGCAGCAAGGGCACCTCACCCCGTGCCACCAGCCACTAGGCCTGTACTCCAGCTAGGAAAGAGCTAACCAGTCTCCTCTCATCGTAAGAAAAACCTGCCCGTGGCTCAGAAGTCACCCCAGGGCAGATGCGCCAAGGTCTTGTCACCAAAAAAGTGTCCACAGGCCAGAGCCAGCTCTGTTCAGCAGTTCTGCTCCAAGAAAACACCTATATCTGAAGCTCTAAAGGCAGAGGAGAAAAAACTCACACCAGGTTTTGTAGTGTGATCCTACAGAACAGCCCTTCTGTGAGGGACACAGAAGAAATCCTGAAGGAGGCAGGGACCTACCTGATGATGGTGTGCATGCCTCGCACCTGCGGCGTGTTCTCCAGGACACTCAGCGTCTTTGGCAGGGGCTGCCCTTGGTGGGCAGAGGCCAGAGCTGCCCTGCAACAAGGAAGCAGTGATCAGAGCTGCACAGCACATGCACACAGAGTCACTGTGCTGGACCCCCTCAGAGTAGGGCACGGCCCCCGACCGAAGGAAGACTCCTCCCAGAGAACCTACTGCACAGGCTGGACACCAGAAAGCGCTTGGCCTTCCCGCTCTGATCTCTAGGAAAGCCCCACATCTGATACCAGGTATGAGATTCCAACGCAGTACCAGCCCGCAAAACTGGGGCAAACCTCCCCTGACCACAAATCCAGCTGTCAGCAGCCTCCGCACACACGAGCCTCTGCCAGCACCTGGGGAGCGGGAGCAGCTGCTCTGCACAAGCAAGACCTTGCTACGTATCCTGGGACAGGGCTGCCTGGGCTGCACTGAGGTACGAGGACTCTCCTACTGAGGCTGCCTACACAGTGTCCCAGAGAACAGGGAGGACTGTCCAGGGCACTTCTCCCATAGAAGGGAGCAGCCTGGAGCACTCCAACATTCAGGGCAGGAACCATGCTCCAGAAAGGGACAGGAGCAGCGCAGGGAGCCAGTCACACAAGTCAAGCATAGCTGCTGTGGGATGGGTTACACAGGAGCCTGCAGCCACAGCGAGACACCCCCCAAGAAACTGCACGCAGAGCGGCCATGCTCAGGCATCTCAGCAAAGCCGTGGCCAGCAGGGACAGAGAAGAATCATAGAATCACAGAATCATTAAGGTTGGAAGAGACCTCTAAGATCATCGAGTCCAACTGTTGACCCAACACCACCATGCCCACTAAACCATGTCCCTAAGTGCCGCATCTACTCGTCTTTTAAATACTTCCAGGGATGGGGACTCAACCACTTCCCCGGGCAGCCTGGTCCAATGTTTCACCACTCTTTCAGTAAAGACATTTTTCCTCATGTCCAATCTAAACCTCCCCTGGCACAATTTGAGGCCATTTCCTCTCGTCCTATCACTAGTTACTTGGGAGAAGAGACCGACCCCACCTCGCTACAACCTCCTTTCAGGTAGTTGTAGAGAGCGATGAGGTCTCCCCTCAGCCTCCTTTTCTCCAGGCTAAACAACCCCAGCTCCCTCAGCCGCTCCTCATAAGACTTGTTCTCCAGACCCCTCACCAGCCTCGTTGCCCTTCTCTGGACACGCTCCAGCACCTCAATGTCCTTCTTGTAGTGAGGGGCCCAAAACTGAACACAGTATTCGAGGTGCAGCCTCACCA